AGAAGGGATTTGAAGTGTTATCTGATTTTTAATGAATATGGACTTGAGCGCTTATGGAAATAACCCCACTCATATGCAAACCAACAGTCTTTATTTCACATGGAAAAGAGTATGACCATCCTTCTTCATTGTACCCAGAACTATGTACATTCAACTCTCAACAGGGATGAGAGGAAGGGAAGGAGGGGTCATGTCTAGATGGAAAACCAAGATTTGTGAGACATACACACTTGATTCTGCACAGATTAATGCCATACTGGGCTTGAAAATAGTTGCACATGGTTCCATTCATTGATCTGTAAAGTGAGTCTGAGTCTAGTTGATCAGTGTTGTAGTTGTGTGGCAATGACAAGAACTTAGTTGATATGTGTACAACACTGTAGATGAACAATTGCATGTAGGCTGGCCTATCTACAGCGTATATGCATATTCCTTGCCACGGTTCTCCAACAGTGTGCTCAGGCATTATTTTAACAGGTAGCTGGAAGACTCAGTTCTTTACACAGCTCCATGGTAATGTTCCATTGTGACAAGTCAAAATACAAACTACAAACCTTGTGACCGTTTCACAAATCTAGGATAACCATGTAGAGGTGTCCAGAAGAAAGGAAGGATGTCTTAGGCCTACTTGTTACTGATTGTGACTAGAATCGATCTGACTTCTGTTAAGTGTAACTCAATTCTTGCGAGAATCTAGCAAGAGAATCTGAGATTCCATAACCATGAGAAAAAAAAATCCTCAGGGGATTCAAATAGACACATTTGTTTTGACCAAACATTAATGATAAATATCTACAGGAAGGCAAAATGCAAACACAGTTGAATGCATTTTCCGGTATACTGCTAGATGCTATGCTTTGTGCATTCCACCATGTAGATGGAGAAAGCAATGGCTTTATTTTCTTGCCGAAAGCAATGGATAGTCCTGTAACCAAAATTTTTAAAGGCTTATAATCATTAGCATGTGACCGATATGCCACTCTTATTGCTTTTTTTTTTTTAATGTTTAAGTTACGACAGCACTTACAGATTTGTGTACCAAACTGCTGAACTGAAATGCAATAATCCATTTTTGCCTCACTTGATCAAGCTGTGGTATCCACTGTCACTGGAAGCCAATGTGAAGCTCAAAAAAGAAAAAAATAATTGAACTTGATTGTTTTGGAGAATCCCAAACAGGCAGGTCTGTTAAGTTAAGTAGTTATATTTATTCCTGACCATACGAAAAATAGTTCAGTATATTTTTCATTATTAACTAGGCCTACGCTGTCGGCGGCCGACAGCAAGGGGTATATCCCCGAAATTCCCCGATCCTAGAAGCCCCCTTTATTAGATTTCCCTTTACTAGACCCACAATATTAGGCAAATTTGAGGTCTGTATGTAATTGTTCCAGAGATATGGTTAAAAAACTGATTTTTTTCAATATATAGCGCCCCCTGGTGGCAAACCTAGGAGGGCATACTTGCCCAAAATCTAATCAGCTCATCCTCTCTACCATATCTACCAAATTTGAGGTCTGTGTAAGTAATTGTTCCAGAGATATGGTTAAAAAACTGCTTTTTTCAATATATAGCGCCACCTGGTGGCAAATCTAGGTGTGCATACTTGCCCAAAATCTAATCAGTTCATCCTCTCTACCATATCTACCCATATGCTAAAACTGAGAAGCCAATGTAAAGTATTTGGTGAGTTATCGCGCTAACGGCTAAAATCTGCGGACGCGGCGGCGGGGGGTGGTGTGAAACCATGATATCCCCGAAACTCGTATTTCAGGGATATAATCAGTAAATACAGGCAATCTGAGCTTACATAAGAAAGAATTTAGTTCCATTTAAAATAAGGATGCTGCGATAAACTTTTGTCAGTTCTGATCCGATTACGATACCTGAATTTTTATCTGCCAAAACAGATACTATTCCGATACCAGAGCCAATTTTTCTTATATTATTATTATTATTATTGTTGAAGTCGTTGATATTATGTGTAAGGTTACACATGGCTGAAGTAAACCACACAGAATTTTATATAAAAGAGCAAAAGAAAAAAACTGTATTCTGCTTTTACAATTCCGAAATAGTTGGGACGAAGTGTTAATTGTGAATAAAATCAAAATACGACTCTCAGATCACGAGTCAATATGTTATTTACAATAGAACATAGATAACATTTCAAATGTTGAAACTGAGACATTTTACATTTTTATCCACAAAATGAGCTTATTTCAAATTTTCTGGCTGCAACAGGTCTCAAAAAAGTTGGGACACAGGCAAAAAAAAAAGGGCTGAAAAAGCAATTAATATATAAGAGAATCAGCTGAAAGAACATTTAGCGAGTAATTAAGATAACTGGCATCAGGTGCGTAACATTATTGGCTATAAAAGGGATGTCTTAGAGAGGCTGAGTCTCTCAGAAGTAAAGATGGCCAGAGGCTCTCCAACCTGTGAAGGCTTGCGTAAAAAAATTGTGGAAATACTTTCAAAACAATGTTCCTCAATGTCAAATTGCAAAGGCTTTGAAGGTCTCATCATCGACAGAGTATAACATCATCAAAAGATTCAGAGAAACTGGAAAAAGCTCTGTGCGTACGGGACAAGGCTGAAGACCTTTACTGGATGCCCGTAATCTTCGGGCCCTCAGACGCCACTACATCACTCACCGGCATGATTCTGTCATTGACATTACTAAATGGGCCCAGGAATACTTCAAGAAACCACTGTCTGTAAACACAGTCTGCCGTGCCATCCTCAGATGCCACCTAAAACTCTATCATGCAAAAAGGAAGCCATTGTTGAGCATGATCCAGAAGCGCTGCCGTGTTCTGTGGGCCAAGGCTCATTTAAAATGGACTGTAGCAAAGTGTCCTGTGGTCAGACGAGTCCAAATTTCACATTCTTGTTGGAAATCATGGGCGTTGTGTCCTCTGGGCTGAAGAGGAGAAAGACCACCCCTCCTGTTATCAGCGTTCAGTTCAAAAGCCAGCATCTCTGATGGTATGGGGATGCATTAGTGCATATGGTGTGGGACACTTGCATGTTTTAAAAAGCACAATGAATGCTGAAAGGTATATAAAGCTTTTAGAGCAACATATGCTCCCCTCCAGATGACATCTATTCCAGGGATGGCCTTTTGTATTCCAGCACGACAATGCAAAACCACATACTGCAGCTATTACAACAGCATGGCTTTGTAGTAGAAGAGTCCGTGTGCTGAACTGGCCTGCCTGCAGTCCTGATCTTTCACCGATTGAGAACATTTGGCGCATAATTTAAAAAAAAGTCTGTCAAAGGATATCCAAAGCTTTCCAGCAGCTGGAAGCCTGTGTTAAGCAAGAGTGGGATCAAATTCCAATGGCTAAACTCAAGAAACTTGTCTCCACAATGCCCAGACGCCTCCACTCTGTGTTAAAAAGAAGAGGGGATGCTACACCATGGTAAACAGGCCCCTGTCCCAACTTTTTTGAGACCTGTAGCAGCCATCAAATTTGAAATGAGCTCGTTTTGTGGATAAAATCGTAAAATTTCTCACTTTCAACATTTGCTAAGTTATCTCTGTTCTATTGTGAATAAAATACTGGCTGGTGTGATTTGAAAGTCTTTGCGTTTTGATTTTATTCACAATTTACACTTTGTCCCAACTATTTCGGAATTGGGGTTGTATTTGAACATCAGGTTATCATGACAGAACAGGTGTAGGAGTGCAACTCCTTCATACGGTTGAAATTTAATATTTGAAATTGAAGTGCAAGAACTCAAAAACTCTATCAAAGTTTAGAAACAAAAGTGTTACATCTGAGCAAGGCAAATCAAGTAGGGCTATATGCAGCAGCAACTAGGGAAGGTCTCCAAATTAAATATTAAATAAAGAGCAAGAAGTGCATGGAGAAATAAGTACCTACACTATCAAAAGACCCGATCAATGAAGTAAAAAGAATGCAGCAGCATCATCTGTAAACAAGTTAACAACATTACTCCAGTCATTTATGAATGTAAATTTGGTGCAAAACTACTGATCACCTTTGAAAGTGGAATATGTAGGTGTAACAAATACATTGTAGTTGTGCAGGGGTATCCGTAACTCAGAAGTTACAGAGAAAAAGTTTCAAACTTGTAGAATTTTTTTTCCACCCCACAAATGCAACACAACACCTTCTTGAATTCCTATTGCAGCTGTACAATTCCTACTCCACAAGTCACAAATTAACCCCTTCGCGCAGAAGCCAAATCTGGCTATTTATGTGTTACCTTATTTAAGGCTTTATGATTTCAGATTGCAGCTTCACAGAGAGGAAGGGAATGGCTCAACTGAGTCAAGGCACTTGAAGCATTTAGTATTCAATCGTATTTCAGTTTCTTTTCATGCTTTTGGTGGAGAAAAAGGGCTGCATGCATAAAAAAATCTTCATGCAAATTCAGCATCGAAATAAAAAAAAAAAAAAAAAACAACTGAGAATTGAAAAATGGCTGGGGGTTAAAACTATACATTTCTGGGATCATAAACTCCTTGACCGCAAGTATAATTCATCTGAACATTAAATTCTAGATTACCTATTCTCTAGGAGCCAAATAAGACAGCTCTCCAGGTGAGTCCCCAAACTCTATGATCCCGCAAAATGGCGCACCATCAAATCATAAAATAATCATATATTTAACACAAATCTACCTTTGACGCATGAAATTCAATATGAATGAATGATTTTCTGGTTGAATTTAGCATGAGTTCATCAATATAGCAGTTCCCACTTCCGAGCTTGCGACCTTATATAAACACTTTCCACACCTCATAAGGAACAAGTATAACTTACTAACTCTGTAATATCTGAAATATACCTTATTATAACAGAACAGACATTCCACTATCAGGAAAAACCAAAAATGCCACCACATGCAGTAGCTATTATCAGCAAAGATTAACAGTTACTCTTACGAACTAAATTGGCATACAAGCTCTGTGATCATCATGGCTATGGTAAACTGAAAATATAAAACAGCTAGCCAAGAGCTGCCAGATAGCTCAATTGGTAAAGCATCGCGTTGCGAAGCAGAAGTGACTATCATGGTGCGGGTTCGATTCCCGCCTCGTACCAGCTAGCAGTGGTCAGCAGCTCTTTTCAGAGTAGCGCACAATTGGCCAATGTGCTACAGGGATGCAAATTGGGAAGGGTCTACTGGGATAGGGTATTGTAAATAATAAGTTATCAGGCGCCTCCTGTTGGCCAGACGGGCGCTCGTCAGGAAAATTCTAAGCTTGTTCATATTTGGGCATCCTCCGCCCTCGTTCTGAGCTTGCGAGGTTTCAACCAATGAGTGTATAAGAAGCGTTAGCGACGGGCGCGTGCTTCGGAGGAGAGCTGCGAGCTGTCTCACTCTCCTGAGTTGGCAATAGGGGGCCGCATATGCGAAAAGCCTTGTACATAGTTCCCCAATTGGACATTCCAGATTCAGGTGGGATTGGAGATGCCAAAATTAAAAAAAAAAAAAAAAAAAACAGCTAGCCATAAGTAAAAAATATAAAATTGCACTTACTCATAAAATGAACAAAAACCTTTCTTCGTTGAATCTCTCCTCCAGACACACAGATATATCGGGTAGAAAGAACTCTCCAGTCCTGTTTCATTTGGAATAATTCCCATTGACCAAGTTCTTAACTCATATAAATCCCTTAAATGCAACCGAATACTTCAGGCCGGTTTTGGAAGTCTTTTTTCCTTTGAAATTGCTTCATTTTCAGCTGTGCAATCATGCACGTTAAGAGAATACAACCTACCTTGCTGGTATGCAAAGGTTTATATACCTTACTGATCGTCCAATCAATGTCTTTCAGTTACTGAGGAAAGTATATACTGTCTGGAATTGGATAAGAAACATGTCAATCAATACATCATTACCAGGGAAGTTTCACGAGGGCATGAACTATAACTGTGCATTAAGCAGATCAGCCTAAGTAAATAATTGAGTGACTGGCTATCAACATGAGTACTTAGGTGGATATAAAAGAGCGCTGAATTTGTTGATGGAGGAATCTATGCGTAAATCCATGGTAGGGAATTATGCGTTTTTGATGTGTGATGACTGTAATTGATGGTAGAATGACATAGTGTCAATACCATGTTGAATTTTTGCTTCAGAAAACTGATTTTTCTTAACTACTAATTTGGACACCATTTGCTCACTATAGCTGAAGTGGTTGCTACGGAGGACAATGATTTTTTCTGTCGCAAGAGGTCATTTTTTTTGAACTGCTGGATAGATACTATGGGCCAGTATATTGAGCAGTTTGCACATGGGGCTTAGCTGAGGCGTTTAATTCATGCAACTGCTGAAAAACAGGGATGGGACTGAACTTGTCCATATTCTAAACCGCATTAGAGCTCGGCTTGCCAGTGAATATTCAATAACTGATCCGGATGTCCATCTAGTGATAGAATAGTATAACTGCGAGCATAAATAGAGCAGCTCCATGTCTGGTGGCAACTACATATGCTCAGAGGGGTTAAGGAACTCATACACTCATGTTTTGCCATGGTTGCTGCAGTAAATATGGTCTTAAACTACTGCGCACCTGTGGAATTGTAGTTGTAAAAACATAGATCCACATGTGTGTCAGTAAATTTGAACTCATGAAGAAATGGTTTCAAACTTGCAGAATTTTTTTCTACCCTACAAACACAACAAAACACATACACTTTCTCAAAGTCTTATTGCAGATGCACACATCCTTATCCACAAGTCACAAATTCAGGAGTTCATGTGCTTACGTTTTGCCACAGTTGCTGCGGTGAACATGGTCCAGGACTGATTTGCACACCTGTTTCCAAGAATATAATTTGTAAAGTTGTTTTTTTTCCACCTGTTTTTGTGTCATAAACACGGGAGGAAAAATAATTTAGATCAGAACTGGAATAAGGATCACCAGAATTTTTTTTTCTCACTTGCCTCTCAGGGCTTCCGTAATTGTCACATTAATCAAAGTAATTTTTTTTTAAATTAGAAGAATTATCAGCTAATTGAAAAGAAACCATTAGATTAATCAATAAAAGTACAATATTGATGTCCACACTTTCACCGAGGAGGCCTCTTTTTATGCAATAAAAATAATTTAGTGCAATATAAATATGGTGCTCTTCAGGGCATGCATAGCTATTTCTGACATATTGTGGCTAAAAAAGGTAGTTCTTATAAACCTGAACAGTGCAATCATAAACAATAAATCTCTTGTAAAAATTCTGGGATTGAAATTCTGGTTGGAACAAAAACCAGCATAAACATGGAGTCTTCAACACCAATGTTAGGAGCCACTGGTCCAGAGTATGGGGAATATGCCAAATTTTTAGTTATTTTAGTGCCATCTGTAGTAGATTTAGAAACTGCAAATCCCAAGTACACTTCAGAACTGTCGCTCGATGTGATGTAAATCAATAGCCTTTGTTCTTAAAAGATTAAATAAATCTTTAAATAAAATAAAAAAACAAGTTTCCCAGCCAGCCTAAAACATCTTTTACCAGCCAGTGGGTACAGACCAGTTAACATATCACTTCTGAAAAGCGTGATGCCTTTAATGTCACAAGACAAATGAACAACTGACAAGAAGCAGTAGTCTACAGGCAAAATATATCCAAACCACATAAAAACTTGCACACAGCTGATGAAGATAGTGACCAATGAGTAGATTAATTATTTGCTCCATCTTTATGATCTCCATCCAAAAAAATCTTACAGGAAAGCTGCCACTGAAAGGCAAACATTGTTATGTGGTATATTCTCAAACACAATGCATTTCAATTGTTTACAGCAGTGGTGCATAAACTTAGTCCTTGGGGACCCTGGTATTTGCTGGCATTAATTAAAACCTCCGTTGCAAGCCCAGAATTTTAACAAGCTGTTAATTTTTCTTAATTAGGTGCTTTTGTTGTTTGGAGGGATTATTCTTTATTATCCTCACGCCAGAAATAGCTTTGCAGTGCCAAAAAGAATAAACTCCCCTAGTTCAGAGGTAGGGAACCCTGCTTTTGGAGAGCTATGGCCCAGCATGTTTTTGATGTCCCTCTCCTCTAATGCACCTAACTGCCCCATCATCATGCCCTTGACAAGCTACAATCATGTGGACCATAGACTGTATAAAAAGATGGACGCAGCTCCCGGGTCTGAAAAGTGAGGCCGATGCGGAAATCTCAAAAATTTGCATTATATTTAATGGCCAGCAGATGGCGACGTTGGTGGTTGCAGAAAGAAGTTCAATGCTATTGAAGTCTATGAGAAAATGACCCTACTTTGCCACCTGATTTATTATTTAATTAATGATTTTCCACATCATTTTATGGTATCTATCACAAGTTTCAAGTCTCCTTCGATATATTGTGGTGTTCATTTTTGTAAATTACGGTCCCAAGTAGACTAGGATAAAGGATAAAGCCAGGATATGCTTTAGGGGCGTGGCTATCCTCTGGTCCTCATCAGATACGGTCAGATCCAGAGCCATGGTCCTCCCCAGATCTTCAATTCACGCTCTCGTCCAATAGGAATCACATCCAGTTGCAAAATGACGCAATTTAAATTGCCATAATCGAGGCTTCCTAAATGGTATGCTGAAACCAATGGGTGACGTCACCGTTGCTTCGTCCATCTTTTTATACAGTCTATGATTTGGACCAGGAATTTAAGAGCAGAAAAACATCTTAATCTGAACGGCTATACCTTTTTAGTGCTATGTTCACATAACCAGGCTGAAGTGACTCAAATCAGATTTTTTTGCCTTAATGTGACCAAGATCTGATGTTTTCAGGGCCGTTTGCTTGTGGAAATCCAATGTTATATTCGACCATCAAATAAAAATTAAGCCGCTTTCATATGTGGTCCAAGATAGGATACAAATCTGATACCATGACCATGCGATATGACTTCAAATGTTCAGTTTGGAATATGTGTGCCATTTTGCCAGTACGCAGCGCAGTTAAAAACCTAAAAATCGAGCCAGCTGGCTTTTTCTTCTTTTAAACCTCATCAGGTACAGTTGACGAACTGTTTGCAGTTGTCCAGGGCTAAATCCCAGCCATATATTTGCTACAAGTGTGTCCATTTTCTCGGTTTGAATCAGGTTTTAATGCCTTAAGTGCTCTCACAAGTATAACTTGTTTGTTGTTGATGAAGCAGATGACTCATGCAAAAACTTATGAAGGTGCGTGCGCCCATCGTTTCGGAGGGCAGATGCATTCGCATTACAGATAGGTACAAGTCACCTGAAATTATGAACGTGAACCATCAAGATAGCCAGATCTGAGCCGAGCACAAAATCGGAAATGAAGAACGAGGGTTGTAGTGTGACTGTAGCGAAAGAGCAGGGTTTCCTTCCGCCGCCCTGGTTTATTCTGTGCAATGTAGCCAACAAAAGAGGTGGCAAACAAAAGCCAGAGGTTAATGGACTGACGTGGTTTTTAAGTGTTTTTAATTATGTAATAATTTAATTAATCTTTTCCGTAAAGTTAAAAAAATTGCAGGTATGCCTCATTATTGTGTAATTTGTTGTTGAATTTTTTATTTATCTTCTAGATGGTGGGGTTCAGTGGCCAGGTGTCCTCACTTTCACCAATTGCCAGTCACTGCAGCCTTTAAATTGAAAAGTTATGGATAATTCACCCCAATTTATGTGCAACCACCAATAACAAAAAGTTGGCACATTATGGAAAGTGCTGAAGGCACGGGTTCGAATAGTATATTCACCCTCTACTATACTGAGAACTCTAAAACTCATTTGATACTTTAACTTGTGAATTCAATTTCAATTATTGAAAATATGTAGTCATGAGAAAAAGTAAGTGAGCCCTCTTTCAGTTCTATAGTTTTACGTATCAGGACATCTAAAAAGTCAAATGGTCCTGATCAGGTCCTAAAATTAGATAAATCTAACCTCAGGTGTAAAACAACACAACAGATTTCACCGTGCCATTATTTATTAAACCAAAATTCAGCCAAAATGGTGAAGTCGTCTGAGAAAAACTAAGTACACCACATGATTCAGTAGCATGTAGAACCACCTTTAGCAGCAATTACTTGAACTAATCATTTTGTATATGATTTTATCAGTCTCT